GGTTTGGATGCATCTTGGTTAGTTTTTGGCTTGTGATTGCTGTCCTTTTCTGGTTTTGTATAGGATGCTGTTTTTGGTTTCGGTTGGCCTATGTTTTGGTTTATTCTGGTGGAGCCTTGTTTTCAGATATGCTCCCTTTTGTTTTTGGTTTTGCTCAGTCGTAGCAATGCTGATCTGATCTTTTGGTCCCCTCTGTATTTTATCATGTATATTAGTTCAATGAAAAATTCAGATGGAAAAAAAAAAAAACATAAAAGGCGATATGATTGTCACCATTCATTATTTGAATATTATATGTCTATTAGCCGGAGTCGTTCAAAAAAAGTGTTTTAGTGTTTTAAAAAGGGTTGTCAACTTTAAATTTTAAATCATGGTCATATATCACTCTAACCTTTTTGTTTACGCGTCAGAATTTACAAAAAGCTATAGAGAGAGTTCACATTGTAAAAAAAAAAGTTTTTCCGACCAAAGATATGCGATCTTAACAAACTTTTTTTTTTTTTATAATAACACAACACCAAATCTTTCTCTGTATAAAATATATAGTAGCATGAAACTCATAACATTAGCACTTAACCTCTTAACCAAAGAAGGTAATGAATCGTCAAGTTCTATTATCGTTCATCACTTTTATTCTTCTCTTGCTCTCCTCTACGTCCAACACAACCATGGCCCGAACCTTGATGAGTAAGTAAACCATCTTGATCTTTTTAGTGATTAAATTCATTTAAATTCTCACTGATAAACAAATTTTATATTCACCTCTTTGTTACATTTGCATAATTGCATTTGCTGGTTTTTATAATTATTTAGGAAATGGAGCACAACAATTTGAAATAAAAATTGGTGTCTCACGAAGTGAATCGTCGCATACTCGTCAAAGAGGGCCTGGACATTGATCTCTTTGATTCTTTTGGAGCTTGAAACCAATATATAGGTCATATTATTTATGATTTATATCATATTTCAATACATATCGAGATTTTTTGTTTTTCGAATCGCTAACTAATTATACTATGTGTTAGGTCCAAAAATACGACTTTGACTAGGTTTGTATTATTATTTTTCTCTTGGTTTTAATTTGAAACATTTGTTTTTGACTTTTGAGTAACTCATGCTTGTATTCTAAATAAATTTGGGTGGTGTATAAACGATCAAAGCTTGTAGTATGTTCAACTGTACTAGTGTCATTGTGTATAGCATAACACGGATGCAAACTCGAAAGTGTATATGAAAAGTGTATATAGGAGAAAATGAGAGCATTCTTAAACTTCAAAACAAATATACACAACCAAAAGTGAAAAGTGTTTTGTAGGTAAATGCTAGGGACAAGTTCCACTATGAAGTCTTAAAAGGCAAGCTTCGAGAATTAGGGTTGGATACGGCACAAATATCTTTAAAATACTACTATTATTATTATATTCATAATTTTTGTGGATATGTGTATTTATGTAATAGACAGATTGGGACATATCCAATCTTCAAAAAACCCCTAATTACC